TAATACGAATGTAGAGACAGAGAGAAATAGAATTTACCTGTCGGGTATTAAGACAGATTACGTCCATTGCAAGTGTAGTGATTGAACGAACATCTTTTGTATGCAGAGTTCAGGACTTAGCAAGTGAATTGTCATTGCTTCTGCAGTTCGAAGAAGTCTGATTTGTACACCTTTAGGAAGACTGATTCGTATTCTGTCGACGGCTTTGAAGTTTGTTTGGGGTGTAACTTGACGTCTGAAATCAATCAGATGTTTTAAGATAGAGCTGTGGCGGCATCTCTCTTCATATCTTCAACTTGGTGGATACCGCTAGTCATGACTTCCTAGGCAACCTCAGGCTGTAGTGACCACTAGGATAATTTTCAAGTTTTGCTTTGATATAATCATACTTGAAACGTAACTGATGAACTTCACTCATTCAGTATCTTAGAGTGTTACTCTACATTTGTTATGCCAACTGAATTGTTGTATTCGGTAGTGAAAAGCGTTAGGCTAATCGAGTGAAGACCAGGTATTAATAATGATAATAATAATAATAATAATAAATAGCTTTATTCCAAACAGTATTTCTTTGTTGGTACAAATATGGAGTCTTCAGCATGTAGTACAGTGCAGTATTCCATCTTTGTCATTATTATTATTTATTAGTGTTCCCTTGGGTTCCTAGTGGAACATAGGGCTTCAACTCCACGTCCCCACTTGTTTCTGTCTCCTGTTGCTGTACTTTTCACCTGCCTCCATGTTAGTCCATACTCTTTCAACTCCTCTTCACACGATCTCCTCTATGTCACCTTTGCATTGACGACCCACTCGCCGCTTCCCTCCCTTTCGGGTTCCAATCGAGCAATGGCCTGACGCGCGCGCGCGATGTCACCCAGCGGCCTCCTCAGCCAGTGAGTGTCCAATCCATCTCCACTTTCTCCTGCATATCTGTTGGTTGGGGATCGGTTCTTGTTTTGTTTGTTTGTTCCCATAGTTTCCAAAAGTTGGTGATTCTTTCCGGCCCGGCCCGGCCATCTGATCTTCAGTATAGATCCAGCGAAGACAGTTGTTGATAATGGTCTTCAACAGGCTGTTGGAAATATTCTTTCGGATCCGTATTAGAAGAACTGACTGACTTGACGTTGTTTGTATTGAAAATCCGATCGAATTTCGTTGTTGATGTTGAGTTGAGTGACGAAGATTTCCAGATTGGTTTCAGATTGATGAATGTTTTCCTCGCGTACGCAATTCTCGCTCAATTTCACATCCTCGTCCGTTCCGACTTCCTGTAGTTGAGACAATGCTCAATGCTAGATACGTAGTAGAATGAAGTAACCTATTTCAAATGCCTCCCGTTGATGGCGATTGACGTTGAATGCTGTTGCTGTTGGTTGGTTATGTTCATCACCTCCGTCTTGTCTATGTTCACCTGGAGTCCTGTCTTTGTCGGATGCTTCTTCGATCAGTTTGTCGGTAGGTTTTCGCTTGTAAGTCTTCGATTTTGTGTGACATCAAACACAATCATCCGCGAAATCCAGGTCTTCTAGGTTCTTCACATCGGTCCAGGATATTCCTGTCTTCTCGTTTCCCACTCACTGTTTGACGCATAATCCAGTCCACCACAATTAGGAATATCATCGTGGGTGATAATAATCACCCTTGTCTGACTCCTGTGTTTATTCCAAACACTTCGCTGAGTTTTCGGTTGTAGATCACTCGACATGTGTCGTTGTCGTACAGCTGTTGACTAAGGTTGTTGAATATTTGGGGTACGCCGTAGTACTTGAGTAGTTTCAAAATCACTTCGCGGTCAACGCTGTCGAAGGCCTTCTCAAAATCTCTAAAGTTAAGGCAGAGGTTTGATTGCCATTCCATGCTTCGTTCTGCGATGATGACGCGGAGAGTTGCAATTTGGTCAGAACATGATTTGCCCAACTTTCCTGAATCCAGCTTGTTCTTGTGGGGCGGAGTTCTGTGTCCAGTGCGGCCTTTTATTCTCTCCAGGATGATGCGACTCAGGATTTCACTTGGCGTCAACAGGAGCATGACTCCTCACCAGTTGTTGCAGGGTCCTAAGTCGCTTTTCTTTGGTAGTATCACGATGCACTCACATTGATAATGTTTCTCAGTAAGAACATGAAAATATTAACAACAATGTTATGATGAAAAAAGGGTTATTTACGTAGAGTTTCGCAGTAAGTTGCTAATGTCCCCTACCTTACGCACTTTCCTTATGACATAAAATGTTTCCCGGCCAAATAAGCTTTTGTAGAGCTTTTATGCTGAGCTGTTCGAGCATATAGTCTCCCTTAATTGCTTCTAGTTCTACCTATCCAATGAGATCCAAGGAGGTAGTTGTGTATACAGAGGAGGGTCAGAGTCTGACAAGACAATATTCGCTAATTTCTTGCATGAGTTAGTGTGTCTCTCTACAACACTAGTATTAACCAGTTTGTTTAGTGACATCCCCGACTCGCCCAGCCTACTGGCAGCTTTTAGTACGCTTCACAGTGTGACAAAGTCTTTCTTAAGTAGCTCAGGAGAGATTAAGGTGGGGCAGAATACAAGAATTAACAAACTGAGAAAGTAGAGACTGAGGTTGACACCAGATCGTCTTAAGTTCCTCACGTCGAACGTTAAACGAAATATCTTTCTCGAAACTGTCATGATTTGGGAAAACCAAGAAAGATCAGAGAGAATACACAGTCCAAGGTGTTTTACATTCGATTTAGTTTGAATTTCTGTACCATCTATGATAGTGGAACCATGACAGCCAACCAAGTCATGTAGGTTCCGTTTGCTTGTCTGAAGGTGAAATTAACCACCTGATATTTGGAGGGCGGATTTAATTCAGGATCATTTGAAAAGGATCACTTGCGAAGTAATTGCCGGCATGGAACGAGTGAGACCATCGACAGACTTGACCAAAGTGGCTACGTTAGAATGGGGAAAGTCATGTAAGAGGAAAGGAAACAGAAAAAGAGAAAGCACAGCTCCTTGAGGAACATGAGCCATAGTAAGTGGAGCAGTGGACGACATCCCTTTGTAAACAGTTTACTGTTGCATTACAGAAATGTAAGAAGGCAACTTATTAGTTCGGCACCCAGCTTCTGTCTCTGCAAGTCCGTTTATATATATATAATACGAATGAATAGAGAAATAAATAAATAGGATTTACCTATCGGGTATTAAGATAGATTACGTCCGTTGCAAGTGTACTGATTGACATGGTGACATGGCTCAAAATCGTTCTCAATGGCTGGCGCAGATGCATCCACTCCTTGTGACTTATGATCTCCAATGAAACTGTTTTGTTTTTCTTTATTACTCTCCTCCTTCGTCTCACACCTCTGCTCACTGTTTCTATTATGCTTTTCTTATACTTTCTTCTCTTGCTTCGCGTGCTACACGGAGTGTGGCGACTTGAACTGTCGCACATTTGTGCAAAGTTCTATGTCGAAAACAGACAGAGACAGACAGACAGATTGATTGAATGAACTTCTTCGGCATGCAGAGTTCAGGATTTACAAAGTGAACTGCCGTTGCCATTGATCAACGCTTAACGTCTAGTCATTTATGTTACGTCATTCAACTTATTTGCTTAATTTTAGTTCTAATTTAAATGTCATTGTTCTCTACCCTACCTCCACTTAGCCTCTACCTGTAATTACCACTGTTGCTACCCAGACTTAAGTTGAAACATTTTAGTCAATTATATTACGTCATCTAACTTACTAACTAACTCAATCTTACTTTAGTTGTTGTCTAATTAGTCTTGTTTCTATATTATATCACTCTTGTACTACTTAATTAATTATGTACAAACACACACACACACACAAAATAACTGTATATAAACTCGATTGTACAGCTATGTGAATGAATTCGCCGTCGAAAAGAGTCTCTTTGCTGAACGTCTTCTCTTTTTCATATAACTCGAAGGCGATATGTATATATATACCTTTACCCTGACACTAATGTATGTTGAATACCATCAATGGATTTATGACTGAACGTCCTGAGGAAGAAGAATATACTGAAATCAGCTGTTCGCTCTAATCATTCTTGCTCTGATGTGTGCTATTGTCTTATCAAGTGAAATTTTTCTATGATGTGTTATGTAACTACTTACAAAATAGCAGTAGTATAAACAATCTCGTACATATTGGAAAACAACTTAAAGTGTATCTACAAATGATTAGCTGCATGATATATATACCAAAAATTAAATATATGTATATAGTTCATATTAGATGGTTTGAGGCAATCGGCAGGAAGCCCCGAATTTTTTTTTTTTTGATTTACAGCTTGATTCCACACTGTATTTTTGGTACAAGTATGGAATTTTCAGCGTGGTTCTCGTGCTAGTTGACACTCAAAGGTCAGCAAAGCTTATCTGCAGCCTTGGACATTCGAACCTGCGTCACCCAGTCAGAGCTGCAGTCATAGACCACGTTACCACTGAGCTAATCGGACTGGATTGCTATTGAACTCCTGTAAGACTATCTCTATTGGATAGTTTGAGTGGACATTAGTCAGTAACTAGTGTAATGTGTGTCTAGTCCTTTCTTAGGTGCAGAGTGAATTCTGTTAGTCAAGTTTGCTGACGACTGCCGAGACTAGCACAAAACCTAGGTCAGGCAAAGCTTCCTGTGGCCGATGACCTCCAACCACTAATCATCTGAAATCAACCATTCAAAGTGCATCTTGACGGCTGCTAGCCACCTAGTGGCATGGTAGCCCCACATTGCAAACTTGACCGGTGGAATTCAATCCGCACCAAAGATAGGGAACTAGACACATATCACAAGGATTACTGACTAGTGCCCAATCAAAATAATCATAGTTCCCCAGTTGCATTCTCATTTGTCCACTCATCAAGAGCCATAAAGTAAAACAAAAGTTGCATTTTTCGATTTCAAAATTCATTTTTTTAATTCAATCATATGACAAAAAAGACATACTTAGTTAAAAATTATTTTAAAAAATATAGATATATCCAAATATAAGGGACAATAAAATGATAAACAGTTTTGATATGTGGATTGTGTTGTATCGTCCAGCGATAGAATAATACTGCTACTCTCCAACCACACACACACACAGAGGTAGGTGGTCAGGGATTCCATTCCCGACCTACACACTCCTCCCATAATCTAACTTAGCCGGTAGACGGTAAACCCAGAAGACATGTAAAATGTTGGTATACGAATTACATAAGCGCGTTATGTTTTTTTTAATGTTTTCAAAAGTGGCGCTTTCAACAGATATGTATATTAAAACACATTGAACACAATGTTCAATAGTCAATAACAAAAAAACGGAAACAATACAAAAATAACAATAATAATGAAATAAATAAATAAAAATAAGTAAAAAAAAAATTGAATTTCCCACTAAATCCAATTCGGTAGGATACAATCAGATCGTTGATTCACATTGACTTGTAAATTATCACAGATATTCGATGTCAACGGTAAACAGGTGAAATAGTTGCAATACTTACAATTAATAATAGGCCCCCAGATAAAAATGACAATCAAACCAATCGCTAGTAGAATCCAAAGTACAGAGCATAAAATAATAACTAGACATCGACGTTTCCTATGATGTTGAATTTGTAAAGAATGCAGTAAAGAATATTGCCGATGTTGATATTGATAATAAGGTGTGGTAGACGGTGATCGTGGAAGATTATGTAGATGGTTGGGCGAAGAAGATGAATGATTACGACTTTTATTTTGATGAATATCACTGAAACTGAAGCTGAATAGTTGAATACTTGGAGTGGTAACACTAACCGGTGTATTACTACTATTGTTATTGTTGATATTAGTACTATCGAATGTTGTTTGATTTACAGAATTAGCAATCGATGTAGCCTGTGATGTTGGAGATGGTAAGAGACCACGGAACGGTAACAGGATGAACGATAGCAAGATACCAGATAGAAAACTACCAGCATTTGCATAATTATCAATCCATGGCAGCAGACCAAAGGTGAATAAGACAAGAATTAGAAAAAGATTACGTAATAGGGCATACCATGGATGGGTTAAATATTGCCAACAATATATAAAATCGACTAATGATACACCGAGAAGTGAGAATTGTGCAGCTGTCGGTCCAGTCTCCACCTGAAAGTATGAAAAAATTAAAACAAGATTTTAAAAATGTGAGAAAAATTGCAGACAATAATGAATCCTATTCAGTATCTTTTTTGACGATTCTCGTTTGCGTTCCGAATGGATGACATGGATGACAGAGCTTTGCGCATGAGCTGTAAACTTTCAGTAGGAGTGGTGAGTTGTTAGCTTCATGCCTCCACCTCCTTCCCCAGTTGCCAATCTTCCCTCTTAACCAGGCTTACCCCAACCGGTTAAAAGAGTTTTTAGAAGTTTATCTGGGCCGAAAATTTTAAACCAGACCACGTGAGTCACTGATATTAGTGAGATTATCTTGAATACACCCTTGAGTTACTAGACTACTCATGATATAGCAGATGACGATATTGGAGATGAGAATGATCACATGTTTAACACTTGGCGGTATCTCATCTCAGTAGGTGGAACGCCAGACTAACGACTTGTAGGTTGTTGGTGATTTGAATCTTGCCAAAACCCAGATTCTCATTTCACTTGCAATCATAATTACCCCCAAAAGAAGCGTTTTATATTAAGGACATGAATTATAGTCATAATATTATTGTTCTTATTATTCCCTTTAGTGTTCCGAGTGGAACATAGCGCTTCAAAAACAAATCTCCACATTTTTCTACTATTTGCCATCCTCTTCAGCTGCGTCCATGATTGCCCCATATTCTCTCATCCCCTCCACCGTGTCACACGATCTCGCCTATGTGACCCTCCTCCCACCGACGACGACCCACTCGTCGCTTTCTATTTGGATTCCACTCGAGCACCGGCCTGGCGCCCGATGTCATTCGATGGTTTCTTCAATGTATGCACGATCAATCCATCTCCATTTTCTCTTACATATTTGTTGAGCGATCAGCTCTTGCCTGTTGGTTTGTTCCACTGCTGAGTTTCTTGATGCTTATTCTTTCTGGCCATTTGATCTTCAGTATGTGGAGCCAGAGAAGGGGGCAGCTGATGATAAAAGACTGCTGTAGCCTGTTGGAAATCCTTTTCGTGACTGACACGCAGTGCAAGATTCTGACCCACTTGATATTGGTGTTGAAAATCCGAATATTGCTAATTTATGCCACAGTGTGCAGAAGATTTCCAAACTGGTTTCAAGTGTTGATGAAGGCGTGTGTATCTTGCCTTTCCGATTCTGATTGGCTGGCTTTGCCATCTTCATCCGATCTGCCTGTGTTTGATACAATGCTGCTTAGACAAGTCAAGGAGGTAACCACTGTTACATCTCTTCCATTGATAGTGATTGGTGCTGGTTGTTGTTGTTGAGGTTCGTTGGTTATCTCTTCATCACCTCCATTCTTCTCAAGATTACACGAATTGAATTCACAGTCAGAGAACCATGAAAAAAACTAGCAGAAATTGATGAACAACTTTTTTTCTCCTTCTTTTAGGACCCCCTTTTTCAATGTGTACCATTGATTCCACTGCGTAGATCAAACCTACAATATTCAGATTACACAAGGCGAGTTTGTTGACTCCATTATGGATAAGATTTTGATTTTGATAAATCACACATCGTGTTGTGCAGTAATATTAACTGATGTGACTACGTTTCCAGCACAAATGATTACTGCTCATAATCATATCAAGTCACTCACTCATACAACATTTTTGCTTGTTGACTGTGTTACCGCTCACTGGGATGGACATCTAACAAATAGCTCCATCAATTTTATCTTCTGCTAATTTACTGTATACAGCCCAACATCCAGTCAGTATCTGCGGTTACAGCCAACTTGGTATGCTCCGCTAGTCAAAACTCCCCAGTTGACTTTTTTCAGATAAGGTGTAATCCTGCAGTCAGTGAATTATCTAAGCACTAGGGAGTTCACTATTCGATGGTTTTTGATGGTTCTCTAACTGATATGAGTCAGTCAGTAATCAAACCTGAGGTCAGTGAAATCCCTGTGCAAACCAAAACTTCAGAATTGTTCTAGCGCTCGCTCCCCAGCTACTGACTATTACCCTAACAGACTTCAGCTGCTCAGGGATTAACTTGTTGCCATCAGGGATGCTTTAGTGAGGTGAGGTTGCTGACAAATTAGAGCACAGTCTTCTGAACACTTTGAGCTGTGCAGCAATCTTCGAATGTTAGGCGTGCGATTCATTCGCTCCCGTCAAGTGTAAGATGATAGCTATTACAGAACTGGACTACAACGACTCACTCATAGATTAAAGATAGACAGGAGTGGACGGGTTGGTGGGGTGTGTTGACCAATTCACCAATTTCAGAAGTTGCATCAGCCAGCGGCAACGGCTTGACCGTTGACGAAATCTCAGCATGCATATATACAGAAGGCTCGTTTGACATTTCCTAACAACTTACGCCATCTTTGGCTTAGCAGACATGATATCTGGCTGGCTGTCGATCAAAGGACGTTTGAACTGCGCAATAGTTTGCTCCATCCTCGTTTATGGCTGCAAGTGAGACATGGCCAGTGACAGTAGAAGACATGAAAAGGCCGGTTAGCTGTCCTTGATCACAGCTGTTTGAGTTCTATCTCCTGTGGTAGGCGGTAGGTGTAATATGATGAGTATTAATGAAAACGAGGTATCCGTCGAGTGCTAGATAAGGAGGGAAAACCAATCGAGGGGGTTGTGTAGCTACACCGATTCAGATGGTTATGACATGTGTTACGCATGCATCCTTAGCCTTCACCTACCTCTGCAGGCAATGTTAGCCATCGGAATAGGATCAGGTTGGAGAACACAGCTAGTGGTGGTCGAACCAAACTATTGCTTCATTAGCCAATCAAATCCATAACAGTTAATTTCAGCTAGCCACGTAGGGATTTGTAGACTTCCTGGTTGGGGTTCTCTGGATGGTAAGAGCCGATGGAAGCTGAAGACAGTTAGTTGTGCAGATGTATTCATTCTGTAATTTGTCATATCCTCTAATGTTGTTACTATTCTTTTTGCCTCATATTTCTGTTTATTATCTCTATTTCGAATCTTTAGCTGCTTTTTTCTCTTGCTTTGTGTGGCATATGGAGGGAGAGGGACAACTCAAGCTGCTGCACTTCTGCGCGGCGGCAGACGAACTCCTAAACATCACTAAGCTGGTTTTAAGGCTAGTTATAAAGGAAGGTTGGGTGTGAGGCTAGTAACCACTGCTACTGAAAATTCACAGCTCTACTTTGAAGCCCCATGTTCCACTTGAAACGTCTGGCACATTATGGATATAACATTTGCTAAATGAAATCGTCCGATAGTTTCTGAGAGGGTTAGGATAATACTTTAACGCTCAGACCGGAAAAGGTGTTGGTTATCTTCAGCGGCCACTCCCTACCCAACTCTTTGACTTGCAGTGTAATCCACAAAGCAGTGGGGCAATGTCAGGGGGTTACATTCCCAAGGTCACTCGCCAGTGACCGAAACACACTCAGACGCCATTTAAGCCACTGGGATTCCACAGGTGATGCATCCTACCATAGGTTTGGAATCAAGGCTTTCCAGCACCTCTAGATAGAACTGTGTGTCCACTATTTGAATTGTAAGCACTAGACTATCACATTAGTCCGTTGAACCTTGTGAGGAATGCCCCCACCACCTAAAGGCAATGAATAACTACAACTTACTTGGCACACCGTATAGTAATGGATGAGTTTTTGGGCACAATGGCTCATAAACATCGCTTCTTGATGGAGCTATGACTCATTGGTCTAGACATTCGATTTCCAACCATTGAGACTGAGGGCTTGAACTCCCCATTCAACCTACCGAAGTTTGGATAGCGAGGTAGTAGTGTTACGGTTGAAGACAAGAGACTTGGTAACGGAATGTTCGTTTGCAATTTGATATCAGTATACAGGGAAATTATATACAACTTATATGAAAATCGTTATTTACAAAAATCTTCCGTGTTGTACTACTTTTCTACCTTCGTATTGTGTTTCTTTGCCTTCTTTTCGTGTCCGTCATGTGTCGCTGATTTGTGACACTGATTCATCATTTCCTGCCATTTCGACGTCAAATCTGTCTCCGCTATATGTTATTTTTTTGCGCAGATGAAGGTCTCTGTACGTAATACTAATACATCCTATCAGTGGCACATTTTGCTTTTTTTTTTTCAAACGTCACAGTAGTCTGTTCAGTGGTGACTCTAGCCATGTGGGATCTAGAATGCGCATTTTTTCCTATTAAGGGACTCATCATCTGGACGCATCCCCTCAGTGGGAACACCATCACTCATTGGAGTCACAGGGATACATTCAGCTAACAAGACCCAAATAGGACGAAATGCTTATCATGGATTCCACAATGCCAATCATCGTCAGCAGTAAAAAAAAATACCTTCACGTTATTCCCTAGACATAATCAGAAAGTCCGTAGTAGTAGCTGACATGGTGACAAAGAGAAATCGAGTGTTTCGGACCAACATAAATCAATATCAATGGGAAATGCAAACTGAACTGAAAACAAATAATCACTTTTAAGCCATTTAAATCATCCTGTCTGTCTGGATTCAACATAGAACTTCGCACCGAAGTGCACCAGTTCCACTTGCCACGTTCCAAATAGCACACTAAGGTAGACAAGAAGATGAGTGAAGAGAATCAATACAGTCTGACAAGTAGAAGAGTGAAACAGAATGGGTAATGGTAGAAAGGAATATGAAAGATTACAGAGACTGAATACATCTGCGCTGGCCATTGACAACGATCACTTTGAGCCATGTCACCTATTGTCTCCAGCCATTGATTCCTAGAGTCAGTCCCGAGGGCCCCAACCCGGAAGTCTGCATCTCCCTCCTTACCTGACTCAGTTTAACTGTCAAGGATTTCATGGATTGATGAGACCATGTTTTTGTTTGGCCACCAACACTTACTCTTTTCCAACCTGCACCTATATCAGCTAGCTAGTAATGCCCGTCGGGTGGGGGAGGCGATGGTTAGGCATGCGCAGCACGTGACATAGCCATCTCAGTCTATGTAACTTTATAGCCTCGTCGATTGATTTTCCTTCTTTGCCCAACACTCTACGCCTAACGTCAACATTACTTACTTTGTGAAACCACCTAACGTGAGACAGAGATCGCAGATATCTGTGGTCGAAATCAGTCAACCTTTTCATGTCTTCAACTCGTATTGGCCATGTTTCAGAGCCATAGAGAAGGACGGAGCGAACTGATGAGCAGTACACACGTCCCTTGGTTGGTTGATAACCGGATGTTAAGCCTACGCCAGAGATGGTGTAGGTCAGCGGAAGCAGCTCGAGCTTTTTGGATACGTGCTGATATTTCGTCGACAATCCGTCAGTCCTTTGGTACTGATACAACTTCCCAAATAGGTGAAGTGGTCAACATGTTCTATCACTTCACTCCTTATGACTAAGCTATCATCATCCTGTCAATTTTTTTTAAATTAGTTATTATTTCATTTAAACAAAAATACAAGTGATCATATAATTAATAACTTACTTGATAGGGTAAAAATATTCCAGACGTCAGGCTTCCAATACACCCGGATAATATATAAATTAATGCAATACGATGCCATCCAATCATTTTTTCTAAATCACGCATAAATATCATTTGTACACCTAATGATAATATTAGATGCATTACACTAGGTGTAAAGCAAAACGGAAAAAAAGGCCGATAAGCAGATAGATAAAGTGAGACAGATGGAAGTAACGAGAGATACAAAAGCATAAAAATCCTTGAGAACGAAGGAACCCTTTACAACAGAGTGAACTTGAACAATAATAATTTAAGATCAAGCTGGATTTCCATCTAAGGGGAACGGGGGTAGGTGGGGGCGAAGATCAACTGTTCAACAAGCACGCAGTGGCAGGCAGCTGTTTCTCCAGTCCTAGTGTCTAAGACTCTTCATCAGTATGCACCCACCGCCAGCGTTCGAAGCCAGGACCTTCTGGTTCAAGGGCCAGCGAGCTCGTAGACCATTAAACCACCAGGATCAACCAATCCAATGGGCAGTACATGAATTCCAACTTCTGCCAATTCACGCGAGATCTGGCGCGACCACTAGCCGATGCCATCGCTGGCGAGTGTTTGACCTCACACCTGATCTGCTTCACCTTACCGGTATCGATGTCGCACTAGAACCCAAGTAGCTACTTACCTGAATAGGGCCATTCGCTAGTCAGCATCAGATTGATATTCAAGTGTCGGTTTGCAGGAATTTGATTTGATTGGTTACAGGACTTCGTCATGAGCTGACATCGGTTAGAGAAACATTGAAAATATTAGATGGTTGGAGGTAATCGGCCACAAGAAGCCCCACATGACCTAGGTTTCGTGCTAGTTGGCACTCACCAGTCAGCAAGGCGTATCTGCAACCTTGAAGGAACTCATTTCCCTTCTGAGATTCAAACCCGCGTCACTCAGTGAGTACTGCAGTCAGAGACGTTACCACTGAGCTATTCGGGCTTGCGATTGACCTCCTGTAGGACTGTAGTGGATATTTTGATTTGACACTAGTAATTAGTGTGATGTGTCTTGTCCTCTCATTGGTGCAGACTAAATTCTATCAGTCAGGTTTTAATGTGGCCACCATTCTAGATAGCTCACCATCACGTGTGCATATTGATTTGATGATAATAGATGGTTGTAGGTAATCGGTAATCAAAACATTGAGAAACCACCACACAGTACTGGGACAGTTCATAGATCATTCAGCCATTCAGACTCGATCCAGTGGCCCATGAATTCCAACTTCTACTAATCCAACCCTTAGTGATTTCATCTCATCCTCATCTAGGACAGTCCTCCACGTTACCCAACGCGAGTTTATCAACTAGTCACTGGAGTTAGAATCTAATCGTATTTATCTGCATACTTCAACATGACAGTCATCTCTATGTGAGAATCAGTACAGTTGTACGGCATTAAAGAAATTCGTCAGTTCAATTATAAACCTCAGCTACTTTATGTCTTCAATTATCAATTTGTTTATCTGTGCTGATTGAACCAAACTTTGGAAAATTGAACTTTCAAAGGACAAGAGGGCAGTTGCTGCACTGTGGTGTGACTGTTTATCCCAATAATCTCTCTATACTATCTTTCCTAACCACAGAATATACACATTAGGTCATAGGAGTTATTAAGAAGACGGTTGCAGCGAAGAAAAGTTTCTTTTCGACGAAGTCACCGTCAACTAGATAGCTGTACATTCGTGTATTTATATCAGATTGATGGGAAAGCTCCAGAATAATTTCCGGTTAAGAGTCAAATTAATAAAAATTAAAATTAGGAATTAGAATGCCATAATAAACAGGGGGACGGATACAACTCATACAAAGTAGCATCATAATAACTAAGACGATTGACATTGTGCAATTAGGGGTTAGAAATGTAGAAATAACAAAAACAGACAGGATGTTTGGTTAAAAAAAACTAATGTGATGAATAATTGTTTATGTAGTCAGGGATTAAATATGTAGAAATAGTAAAATGACAAAATAAACACTAAGTTCGTGTATGAAAATATGGTAGTGTAAACAGGGATTAAGAAAAACTTAAAAATAACATGAATAAACAGGAAGTTTAGATAAGAAAGGCGATAAGATGGTCATTAGTAAAAAATTACCTGTTTATTATGGCCATGGCAGGGACAGGGGTTGGACGTATTTCATTTGGATACAAAGCGTATGTTTGAGCTTTTGGATAGCTAGCGCCTCGGCTATGCCCAGATGCCTTGATTTCACTCCCTTTGATAAGTTTAGTTGAATCTTGTATATTGCTTTGAAGGATTTTTTGAAAGGCGCTGAATGTCCTGAATTAACCAGATGTTCTGTCACTGAACTGTATACACGCTTTCGGTCTCCTTTTACTAACCAGGCTGGGTAGTGCTCACAAGCGCGTTTTTGAAGTCGGCGCATGGTACAGCCAACGTACTCAGCTTCACAAGAGCAAGTAAACTGGTATATGCACGTTGAGGTGACCCAATGCGACAGCTTGTCTTTCGCGTTCTGGCTGAACAGTTTCTTGCAGGAAAACGTCAGTCGTAGGCTCGTGGCGAAGTATGTTTTCCTCAGAGATTTGGAGAGGCGTTTACGAAGGATTTCTGCTTCAATATCACCTTTGAATTCTAGATTAAGCAGAAGTATTTTCTTTGGAACGGATTGAACTTGTTCGGAAGTCTTGTTAGATTTGAGACTGTTGTCTATGAACCTGGGCGGGAAACCATTTTCCATTCATTTGATATAAATACGCAAATGTACAGCCTAGATGATGACTTCGTCGAAAAGAAAATTCTCTTCGCTGCAAATGTCTTCTTAATATCTCTCATAAATACATTCTTGAACAGACGTACTTATTATATTCCTTCCTCACTAGTTGGGACAGAGTCAACAGCAGCCTGGTCACTAGGTCAGGTGGGCTGAAGAGTCAACGTATAGTGTGACTAAACCGCTTGTTTAGTAGCATGGACAGCCACACAAAAATCATGAGCGTTATTTCTAGTTGAAGACAATGGGGAATACGAACTTGAAGTCGTTGAAACAGTGTAACTAACCGGCTTCCTAGACGATGTTCTGTACAAAAATTACATAACTTGATTTCTCTTCTGAGTAATCTTCAACCAGAATGAAGTAACAATTTTGTGCTCATTTTATTTTCGATAATTCTTCATTTTCCATCAATTCCCGACGACGTATACCCCTGAAATTAATTACTGATATTGGTGACGGTTGAAAGCAATCGGCAGGAAATGCTGAAAAAGATTTCGCGCTTTTCAGCAAGGCGTATATCTGCTACCACAGAGGAACTGATGATCTCACAAAATAATTCCGTTCTTGACAGATTTCCTATGCCGCAAAAAATTTTTTATGACTAGAAAAGAAAGCACTGATGGTTCACTAACTGATGAGCTCGCTATGAAGCCAACAGGTCCTCGGTTCGAGTCCCGTTCCATCTTTTTCAACCCGGGGGCAACTGGATAGTATCATCAGTTCTCACACAATAATAAGTATGGTTCTTAGATGACATTTACGGAGGTGTGGTCCATTGACCTGCAAGCTCTCCATCCTAAGTTCCAGTGCTGGCTCCAATTATTTCAACCAGAAGGAAACTGATTCTGTAGCTCATAGTGTGGAACATAAGAGACATTTCCCGAATGAAAAGAACTGGTTAAAAGCGGTATTCATCTCGTAATCGGATGACCTTGACTGACTGAAAGATTTCACCATCTTTTTCCTACATCGGCCTTGGTCAAATTGCCAACCAATCAGGATGTTTATTTTTGTGAACATAGCCGAATCGCTTACCAATCAGAACAGTCTATTTCCACTACCCTGGGCAGATTTTAATATGCTTAGGAATATGAAAATATGACGTGCTTTTTCTTAATAAAATTGTATCATAACAGTCACACGCCGTCTGTCTTTTGATTTTTACGTGGCTCAGTGAAGCAGAAGACACCACGGACGAATAGGCATTTTTGACGTAGTTGTGTTCGCTGAGCTATCAGGATGGTTTATTTGCGAAGCTTTCATTGCCCGCTACTAAGCAACATCTTCGAAGAATACTTCAATTAACTGAAGTGAACTTTCAGATTTCTCCATGAGTTTAGTTTAGTCGCCTCCACTGGTGACCTTGGACGTGTTTTCACACTCTCCAGTCCACTTGTATTGGTACGAATACAACAGCCAATCACGACGTTCAAGGTCACCAGGGGAGATGACCTATAAACCCATGGAGAAATCCAAAAATCTCACTTCAACCAATTCAAGTATGCGCTGAAGATGTTACCTAGGTAGTAGGGCGATGAAAGCTTCGCAAATAAACCACATCCAGATAGCTCAAAGAACATAACTACATCAAAATCATCCACACCTGAGCTACAAATCTTCTTTATTATTTCTACGAATAGGCGTATTTAGCCTATCATTTGAGTTCTCCATTGCATGAGTATTATTATACCCACGCATAAGTCCACTGAGTCATATCAACTGTCCACGAGATCATATCAGTTGGTGACAGGTCCATATCACCGGGGAAGTGAGTTTTACATATTTCTACTCAACTCAATATCAGTTCGTTTTTGTTTGAGTTCACTGCAATTATATCATTATTATTATTAATATTATTCCTTAATGAAACGATTACATAACCGGTAGATTTTACTCACCCAGCATGAACAAATAATGCAGTGAAAATTCGATAAATTTGATTTGGATATTCATTGTTTATAAAAGGTGACATACCACAGATTTGATTTAAACAATTCACCTAAACACCGCCAACAACAACAAGGACAAGGAGAAAATAAAAACCGAATTATCAAAATACACACATACACACACGGTGATATATAACTCCACGGGCTATCAAGTATTGATTTGTAGGGATTTGATTGTTTGGAAATCAATGAGATGCTCACTAGAGACTTGCTCTATTCAGGTAGGTAGTTCTCTGGTGTTCTAGTGGGACGTCGTGATCAGTGAGGTGAAGCAGATCAGGTGTGAGGACAAATACTGGTCAGTGATGACATTGGCTAGTGGTCGCGCTGTGTCGTGAATTGGCAGAAACCGGAATTCATACACTGGCCATCGGAACAGGTCCTAGTGGCTTAATAATCTACGAGCTCGCTGGCCCTGTAACCAGGAGGTTGTGGGTTCGAACCTTAGCGGTGAGTACGTACCGATGAAGAGTCCAAAACTAGGACGAAACAGTTGTCCAATACTCCCAGCTAGTTTTCCAATGGTTCTCTAATCGATGTCAGCTCATCATGAAATCCTCTATCCACAGGTTATGTTACCGACTTTGTCAACAGTGACGAAGGATAGTACATGACCAGGTATATGAATGCAGCAAATCCTAATAATGTTTACAACCCTCTCTTTTTTTAGGAGATGTCTGTTCTGACTGTCTAAGTTTAAATATGCAATTTGCATATACAAGTTCAGACACGTCCAATTTGTGTCACACTTCAACCCAAAGGAAGAAAGATAAAGTACGTAGACTAGCCACCTCAAGTTGTATCTACCGTTTCAACTGTGCTTGTGGTGGAGCGAGTTATATTGGCCGTTGCTCTATTAACTGGATTCTTCGTGCTCGCTCGAGAACATCTACAAATGTGGTTAATTAAAGGTGTAGTGAGAAGCATTAACAGCTTGATACTAGACCACCTTGTCTAAACAGGCCACACAGCCAGCATTAAAGTATCCTTCTCTATTATCTAACAGGTACCAAATAAACTGCCAAAAACATTCACGCACCACATACTCCAAACGGTAAGCGATATCGCTATTCGCTTGAAACAACCGGGTGCTTTATGTACAGAAGAAGGAAGTCTAACCACTACTACTGTGGCGAGAGCTGTCTGCAAGACAAAATTGTAGACACCAACTAACGTCAATATTCACATCCCGAATCGGCGTTAAGAGATAAAACAATAACAAAGCTTAACCTTGAGGAGCACAACAACCAATCACAGCGGACTTAATGTGTGCAAATACGATTCGCAGATATGTGGCTTAACTTTCTGCCAAACAGTCGCAAGCGGTACAGAATAACCTTCAGCAAGAAAGCAACCAATCAGAAGAGGCTGCTTCTCTGTTATTTAAATGTTATTTAAACAACATTGAGAAACATGAGTACTTAATGTATCTGGGAGATTACAGAGAGTGAATGCCATTGTGAATGACCTTCAGGCATATTAACAACAATTTCTAGTCATTGGATTCTTTAAGTTTTGAGGATTCTAATCAGGTCCTTCCTATGTGGATTACAAATCAACAACAGGAGGCGACACAGACTGATGTCAGGTTTCGCTTTGACCCCAACTCCTGATTCTTTTCAAACCTTATACCTTGTCAGACAGCCAACGTTGTGCGTAAAGGAAGATGGCACCTTACTATGCGTAACACGTATCCTAGCCATCTTTTAATTACTGAAGCTTCACAGCCTCATCAGTTGATTCACCATCCTCTTCACCTAACACCTAAATTCAACAATGATCACTATATTTTACCATTTGACACTGTGATCAAAGACAGCTAACCGGCCTTCAATCGCCATGTTTCATTTACAACCATAAAGAAGGACAGAAAGAGAAGTCCTGAACAGTGCACGTGAATGTCCTCTGAGTTGGTGGGCGTTAAGGATCCAGCGGCGTAGGCAGTTGTGCTGGGGTCGCTGCTGAGGAGTCGAGTAAAGGCTGAGTGCGACAGCGTGGAGCAGTCAGAAGAGAAAGAGACCCGATGGACAGGCAGATGGCAATGCAGACGTTCGGTGCTGCGAGGTTGGAACTGAACGGAGACCCGTTAGTCTTGGAGGTGAAGCTGACGAACCGACTACGTCACACATACACACACCACAGTGGAGAAAGAGTCAGAGTTGCAGTTATTGACTTCCCAGTTCATGGAAAGTGTTCCAGACCAGATCCCTCGTCAACTATAACTTGTCAACGCTGCGCAACCCGTAAATATTGGTCAGCTAGCAAAGGTGACCAGACAGCTTTTGAGCACAACGATAGCCGTAATAGAGCCAACATTCACAGGTGCTTTCCCGCTACCGAACAAGGCGTCGACATTTGCCTTCCGGGTTTCCCCCTGAGCCGGTCCATTCCCCCCCCCTCTAATTGACCTAGACAACCAGCCCTCCAACTGGTCATCCATACTGGCCGCGTGCTTAGCGTGGACGCCCGATCGACGTGAGCACCCATATGCCAGAACTCCCGGTCCCGAGAAATTCGGCACCCTGGCCTCCAAGCAGTTAGATTAAAGGCATACTTCACCACACCTAGCTGGGCAGACCTGTGGAGTGTGCTACTTATAACGACTATCAGTAGTATATAATAAGACGTTCAACGGTGCACAAAAATACCTATAGTGGAGACATATATATATATATATATATATATATATATATATATATATATATATATATATATGGGAAGCAAGGCGACCAAGCAGCTCTTCAAGCTAGAAATAGATTCCTTAGTCGAAATAAAATAAAATTTTCAAGTATTTTGTTTGATGCATTGGACGATTTCATCATGAGCTGAAATCAGTTAGAAAACCATTGGAAAACAAGCTGGGAGTAGTGGACGGCTATTTCTCTAGTCTTAGTTTTGACACACTTTAGCAGTACGCGCCCACCACAAGGGTTAGAACCCAGGACCTTCCGGCTAAAAGGGGAGCAATCCCGTAGACCATTAAGCCACTAGGACACGATCCAATGGCCAGTGTGTGATTTCTAACTTCTGCGAGTCTCTACAAAACTGATACTTGAAAATTGATCTGATGCCCAATAGCGACTGGCCCTATTCATGAAGTTAACCCAGGGTTCTAGTGGGAAGCCGTGACTAGTAGGGTGCAGCAGGGTCAAGGTGAGGCAGTAACTTATCGAAGAAGATATTGCCAAGTGGTCACACTATGTCATGAATTGGCAGAAGTTAGAATTCATGGGCCATTGGATCGGGTCTCAGTAGTCTAGTGATCTACGAGCTTGCCCAGTCCTGGATTCGAGCCCTAGTGATGGTTGCGTCCTGATGAATAGTCCTAAACTGGGACTAGAGAAACAGCTGTCCAGTACTCCCTGCAGGTTTTCCAACGGTTCTCCAACTGATTGCAGCTCATGATGGGACCGTCCAAACAATCAATAAAAAAATAAAATTCCCCAAAATAGCGACACAACACACATTCGGTGGCGGTGCAGAGAGGGGAGGCTGTGGTGAAAGAGAATGCCAATGATATTGTGGTGAGAGCAGGCTGCTAGACAATCGGTAGACACTAATCTACGCCAATGTCTAGGTCACTAATATTGGCCATGAGAAAATTTATTTATTTATTTTATTTTTGATTACAGCTTGATTCCACACCACATTTTTGGTACAAGTATGGAATTTTCAGCGTGGATATCGGTAGCCCAAATTGCGCAGGTTGACCATAGATATCAGGTGTGCGTCGGCGTGGGCTCGAACCCTGGACCATGTGCATGGTCGACGAGAGTCCTAACCACTGTGCCACCAACGCACAATATGAGCAAGGCTGGTTCAACAACCAATCACAGCAAACTTAACGTGGGCGAATATGATTCGCAGATATATGGCTCCACTTTTTGATGTTACCCGAAACAACCAATCAGAAGACTGCGTTTGTCTACTTGAATAAGCTATAATAATGTATGTGAAATATATATATAAATACCTGTTGATTTCCGTAATAAGACGGTCTGTTGCCGGCCCCTGTCTTCTTTTGTTACAATACCACAACGAGAAGAAAACGAGGGGAAAAAAAGCAAAAAAATTTCCCGCTTACCTGAGAGCATAAAGCAGCTGTTGGATAATAAAAGCCTCGAACAAAATCACAGTGTTCTTGTGTAGTGATAATACATTCACCTTTAATGCCTAGACAGCATGGATGACCGGTTACTTGACATTCCATATGCGGTGCATAACCACCCATATTAGGCACATTACCGGGTAGTTCACAAATCTAAATAAGAAAAATAGAGAAAAATTATTAGTACGTAATAAATCCTTGATAGGTGGAATACACACCAAGAGAATAAAGGCTTAAGAATTTGGCATAAGTTAGAATGATTGACTCCAGTAAAATAAGCAATTTAGAAAAAGAAAACTGAGCAATTGCACTCCATCTGTTACCAAACAACCACACAATGGCGTGGGTAGGACAGAGTCAAATTTCTAAAAAGTAATATAGGTCTGTCTGTCTGTTTTCAACACAGAACAACTTTGCACAAATGTGCAGCAGTTCAAGTCGCCACACTTCACCCCATGTAGCACTCAAAGCAAGAGAAGAAAGTATAAGAAAAGCATAATAGAGACAGTAAACAGAGGTGTGAGACAAAGGAATAGTAATAACGAAGAACAAAACAGTTTCATTGGGTGTTATAAATCACAAGGAGTGGATGCATCTGCACCAGTCATTGACAACGATTTCGAGGCATATCACCAATTGTCTCCAGTCATTGGTTTTTACCGTCTTGAGGAGCCCAACCAGTCAGGACGTCTACACCTTCCTACGTGGCTTAGACTAACTGTTGTAGATTTCATTGACTGGTGAAGCCATGTTTTGGTTTGACCGCCGCTAGCTCTTTTCCAGCCTGACCCTATGTCAGCTTACACCACCCGTCGGTCGAGGAAGGCGATGACTAGGCATATGTAACACATGTCCTAACCATATCAGTCTATGCAACTTCACTACCTCGCCGACTGATAGAAAGTGACTGATTACTGAATCTTTGTTCATCGAGTCTACACCCAACACAAGACATGCAATAGAAGTGAGTAGTGTCTTCATATGATTATGAACAATAATTTGCGCTCGAAAGGTGGTCATCAGTAAATATTACTGTACTGTATCGCACTGTGATTATATCAAAATAAAATTTTATCTATAATGGAGAATAAATGTAACGACAGAAAACAAGGACCATGGGATCTTCATTGTTTAGACGCAGCAACACCAATTGTAACGACAAAAGACAAGAGTCAGGCAACAGATCGTTTATTGAGAAAATCAACAGATATTTATAGATTTTTATGTACACCATGATTCGTTATTGTTGTTTTCCTGCTGAAGGTTATTCTGTTATCTCTTGGTGGCCGTTTCTTAGACAGTTCGGTCTTCGAATTGTATCTACCCATGTTAAGTCTGCTGTGATTGGTTGTTGAGTTGCTCAAGGTTAGGCTTTGTTCGTATTTTCTCTCTTGACTTCAATTCGGGACGTAAACATTGACGTAAATTGTTGCTTACAATTTCGGCTTAGAGACAACTCTCATTACATAAAGGCTGTTTAATATTTGAAATCAAATCGAGAAGATAAGTGTACACTGACTGACCGGATTACAACGTAGAACTTTGCACAGAAGTGTACCACTTCAAGTTGCATACTTCTACATATGTTATGTACTAGTTTTCCCCGTCGCCAAATTGTTATGTACTCGTCGCTAAATTATTGTTATGGTCTGGTCGAGAAACTAATAGTCTTGACGAAAGAAGGCGGAAATCAGAAGACCACTAGGTTTGCGATGATACTTCTATTGTCCAAACACAAGGAGACGAAAATAAATGGTCTCACACCAAAGTGATAAGTAAGTAAAGTAGTTCACACAGAATGTGTGAACGAAATATATATATAACAAAATATATATAGCAGACATGTCAAACAACCATATATGGATATATGTCACCAAGCAACGGACTGTCAACAAACGCTCATATTATATATAATATAATATAAGGAGAATACACATTATTAAAGGAGACAAGTCCATACAAGTGAAGTGGTCACAGACTAAGAGAGCAAACAGAAAGAGAGACCAACATACACACACACATATATATATATATATATATATATATATATATATATATATATATATATATATATATATATATATATATATGGATACATATCAACATAGCACACGGACGCAGAGTAAAAGAGAGATAAAGCAAATTAAAGGAACTATAATGAACAGTCTTCGAGTTTGTGTGACACTACACCTAAATGATCTGAGAAATCTACATCTTTTATAGAGTCGTCTTATCTAGAAGATATGGATTTGGTGATTGAATGATGTATGTCTAAAATGTCACACACACACACACACGCACTCGAATACCTGCAGGCAAAAACCAAAAAAACTGACTAAAGAAGCTGACAGTGAAGAAAGGACTCCAGGTGAAAATAGAGAAGACAGAGGCGATGGAAATAACCAACCACCAACAACAGCAATCATCACCACTCACTATCAGGGGGCGAAATTTGTAAGAGGTTATTTCCTTCACCCATTTAGGAGGCATTGTTTCAACGACAGGCGATAGTACGGATAAAGATGTCAAAACCAGAATCGGAAAAGTAAGACAGACCTTCATCACTCGGAAATCTTATGAACTCAGCGTCGACAACAAGATTCGGATTTCCTACATCAATGTTAAGTCAGTCACTTTTTCTCCATGGGTCAGAAACCTGTACTGCCCGGGTACAAAAGCATTTCTAACACAACAATGCAGACTTTTATCAACAGCTGCCTTCGCTGGCCCCATACTGACGATGAAATAACCAGAAAGAATTCCTCCTCTGAGAGCTAGCTAACCAACCAAGATCCTGTTACTCAAAGAAAGTGTAAAAGAAAATCTGTCTGTCTGTTTTCGACATAGAACTTTGCACAAATGTGCGGAAGTTCAAGTCGCCACAAAAGAAAATAGAGATAAATTGGTCACATGCTGAAGAGACCGTTGAATTTTTTTTTGATTTACAGCTTGATTCCACACCGTATTTTTGGTACAAGTATGGAATTTTCAGCATGGATATCGATAGCCCAAATTTTGCAGGCCGAACATAGATATCAGGTGTTCGTCGGCGTGGGCTCGAACCCCGGATCATGTGCATGGTCGGTGAGAGTCCTAACCACTGTGCCACCGACATCACGGACTATTCCACCGATCGAGTGGAATCCAAACAGGAAACATAGGAGTGGGTCATCCTAGGGTAACATTGAGGAGATCGTGTGGCGTGAAGATGAGAGATTATGGGAAATCGTGGGCCCAGATAAAGAGGACAGCAGAAAATAGGACAAAACGGAGATGTGTTGCTGAAACCCCATGTTCCACTCGGAACCCAAGCGAACAATAATAAATAATAATAATAAACAGAAAGGTACGAGGAAAAGAACAGTCACATGTATAAATACGAGGGTTTAATAGATAATTGAAGACTGAAAACAGTGAATGCATCTGTACCATTGTGAACGACTTTAAGGTAAATCACTAAATGCCTCCGACCATTAGTTCTTGTCATCCCAAGTAAGGACCTTAACTGGGCAGTCTGTCCCTGCCTAAGTGGCTTGAACCAACTATTGAAGACTTCATGAATTGATGTCAGGTTTTAATTTGACCACCACTAGCTCCTCGCCGAAGAAACCTTTTGGCTCGTCATGTGCAACACATGTCCTAAACACCTCTCAACCAATGTAGCTGCGCATAACCTGACTGATTCATTTCCCTCTCTTACCTAACACACTACGCCTAACCTCAATATTGCTCGACATAACACATAGCTTAACACAGGGAGTAGAATGCAAACATTTATCATCGAAGACTATTAGTCACTTCAGATCTCCCAATTTCAACAGTCATAACAGCAAACCACTGCGTAGTACACGTGTCCACTGATTGATAGCCGAATATCACGTCTGCACAAGAGATGATGTAAGTTGGCAAGTACTAAAAGACGTAGGAAACAGCTGGCGGTAAAACCATCACGTCCCCAGCTCGATCAGGAAACTAAATCCCTATTTGAGGAAGAACTAGCTAAACGCATATCTGAGTTCGACAGCTGTGCTCACCCTGGAGAAGCCTGGAAGAATATTCAGTCAGCTATAGATACAGCTGTAAAAGCTGTGAATAAGGCAAATCCAAAGGTGAGTAAAAACCACTGGATTTCGACTGCCTCATCCGAACTGATAGATGCTAGAAGACTTATTCCGGCGAGCTCCGAATTCAATGAGGAGCGAAAGCTGCACAAAAGGAAACTTACTAAAAGTCTCCGCAAGGACCGTGAACAGTGGTGGCTGACAAAGGCAAAAGAGATGGAAAAAGCATCGGCGATAGGCAACACTAGGCAACTCTTTAGACTCATCAGGGAAACGGGTGGGAGAAGGCAAATCATAAGTGAGACTATTTCTGAGAAAAATGGCTCCTTAATTAGCTCTCAGGATAGACGCCTTGAACGCTGGAAAGAACACTTTGAGGAACAATTTAACTTGCCTACAGCCACACTGAACCTCCCCAACATCCACCCCACACCCGAATGGGATATAGACACTGGTCCGCCGTCTGTAAGTGAGGTCACAAAAGCTATCAGTAATTTGAAACGAGGCAAAGCGGCAGGACCCGACGGAATTATTCCGGAGGTGTTTAAATATGGGGGTGACATACTAGTTTGTAGATTAACTGAGGTACTAGGCAAAGTCTGGGAATCAGAGACAGTACCATCAGACTGGGGTAAGTCACTTATTATACCGATATTCAAGAAGGGAAACAAGTCCTCGTGTGATAATCATAGGGGGATCAGCCTAACGAACATAGTCTCTAAAATCCTAGGCTCAGTAATCATGCATAGACTAAGCAGAACTCGGGAGGAACAGACAAGGGAAAATCAAGCAGGCTTTAGACCAGGTAGAGGGTGCATAGATCATATCTTCACTCTTCGACAGATTCTAGAACATAGACACACTTTTCGGCGTCCAACAATTGTCATATTTCTTGACTTGAAGGCGGCCTTCGACTCCGTGGATCGAAAGGTACTATGGCAATGTCTGACTGTGAAGGGAGTGCCAAGAAAGTACATTGCACTAATCAAGGCACTCTATTCAAACTCACGTAGTCGTGTAAGGGCTTATGGGGAATTGTCATCTGAATTGGTAACAACCAGTGGTGTCCGACAGGGATGTCCACTTTCCCCA